ACCTAATAAATATGGAGCCAACATATCTCTGTTTAACCCTTCGGTTAAGTGATAAACTTACCTTAGAACTTAGAAGTTAACCTTTGAAAGATTTTATAACCATTTGCTCACGTAGATAGAATTAGTTAAAGGATCTCTAGAAGCCTTTTGAAAATCTGTTAACTTGAGAGGAGCTACCTGCTGTTATGTAAATCTATTACCCCTGGCAATTATTCACCATTCCCTATAAGTTACCATGTAAGACCTCATTCGGGGCTTTTTGAGACCCACGGAGAAGGTCTAGGCCTCCTGAGATCCCGCTTTGCCTGTAATCTTCATAAACTTATAAAACTGTATCTTTGTCTCTGTGTATTCTTTTATTTCTTTTATTTTCCATTTTTCTCTATTATTTTCTTATCCCTTGCAACTCTACCAAAGGGACCCGGTTTTTTACGGGGAACATTGGCCACAATCCCAGCACTCATGGACCAGCCTCTGCCAGCTTCAAACTTTTCTTCTGCAGCTTCCTCACGTCTTTCAGCATTTACAGAACTGAAGAGTCAGGTCCTTCTTGCTCTAGGTTAGACTTTGGCTTAAGGGAATGCTGTGGCTGGTTGGATCTTCTGTCCAGGCCACTCAAACTTTCTCCATATCACGAATAAGGCTGTTTGGCTTTCTTAAAATTTGTGTGTTCACTGGAGTGGCACCTTTAATTCCTTCAAGAACTTCTCCTTTATTCACAACTTGGCTGTTTGGTGCAGGAGGCCTGGCTTTTGGCCTATCTCAGCTTTCAATATACCTTCCTTACTAGGCCTAATCAGTTTCTAGCTTTTGACTCCTTTTACTTGAATACTTGGAGGTCACTGTAGGGTTATTAATTGGCTTAATTTCAATATTGTTGTGTCTCAGGAAAAAGGGAGGCCTCAGGACAGGGACAGGGAAGGGGAACAGCACATGTATTGATTAAGTTCACTGTCTTATATGGGTGTGGTTTGTGGTGCCCCAAAACAATTAAGATAGTAACATCAAAGATCACTGATCACAAAGCAGCATAACAGATATAATAATAATGAAAAAGTTTGAAATATTGCAAGAGTTACCAAACTACGGCAGACAGGAAGTGAGCACATGCTGTTGGAAAAATAACGCCAACAGACTTGCTTGACACAGGGTTGCCATAAACCTTCGATCTGTAAAAAATGCAGCATCTGAGTAGCGCAATAAAGCAAAGTGCAACAAAACAAGGTATGCCTGTATCTGAAACCGTTCGATAAATTAAACTTTGAAACTGGTTGGGGGGTCATTTCAGAAACTGTTTATAAAGGTGCTACATTCAGATGACTGGGGCAGAGTGAGTCTGACACACTATTCTCTGGGCTTGGGGTTTGGCTGACTCACCTTCAAAAAGAAATTGACCATCCAAGTGTGGTCCAGCCGGGGTGACAGCACCACCAGCAGGTCATTGACGAGAAGCGGTTTGTAATCCAGATAGAACTGCAGGGCTCTGTAGTAGAGCTCGACGTTGGCAACCTGGGTGGGGAAGGTGAGGGTCATTCCCTGCCCGTCGCCGATGCCCCATGGCTCCTCCCATCCAGGCCTGACACCACCCAGGGGGATGAACGGTGCTGGCACGCTGCTCTGCCACGGCTGCGGTATTCTTTTCCTCAGCACTGACACTTCTCTTACAAGGCAGGGCGCTCTGGTTCCTGCCTCACCGCAGCACCTATGCCAGCATCTGGTGCAGGGTCAACACTCACCCAGTATGTCTTGAGTGAATGAATGAGTGTCATCAGCCAGAATAAACTCAAAAAGATACATTTTCATCCAAGCAAGAGTCCCCCAGCCCTCCTCAGACAGGTCGGTTCAAGCTGTAAGCAAGTAGGCAGCAGGTCCTGTCACATCCCCAGTGCCTCTGAGTCCAGGCACCGTGCACTCAGACCTGAGTGAGCCCGGAGCTGGCCCAGGCACAGCAGGCTCCTACTCAGAGGGCGGGGCCACGCTGGGCAGACCCTGTGCCTGTCCTCCCAGGTCTCAGGGTCCAGCCAGGCTGCTGTGTCTCTTGGCACTTTCCCTGCTGGTCATCGTTCTCTTGCTGGGCAATGTCACTGGATGGCTGCTGTGGCACCAGTGTCAGGGCCTGCACACAGCTCTGTTGTTGAAGGGAGCAAGGTAATTCCCATCATCCAGAAGGGCATGAGCCCAGCCAGCAGCGATGACCGAGTGCATGAGCGTGCAGGGGTCCAAGGCGATGTGTGGGGCACAGCCAGTGCTGGAGCCACACTGGGGGCAGGGGACAGGCACCACTGGAGCCTTCAGCAATGTGAGGTTTAGGGGACCCGGTAGCCATGTGGGGCCTATTGGGCTTTGCAGACCAAAAGTGGACGTGGTATCATCACAGTCCTCTATGATTGACCGACAACGCCAACCTCCTCCTCCCCGCTCGGGCTCCAGCACTCACTGTCAATACAGATTCTGACCCAGATAGGTGGCAAGGTCCCTGGTCCCCGCCCCCAAGGAGGCAGAACAGAGCAGTGACCCGGCCCTGTCACAAAGCTTCACCTGCGGCAGCAGCCAGCCCCCGTGGCTGTGGGTATGCTCACATGGGAGCCCTGGAACCTGTCACCCTTC